CTTTTTATTTTCTCTATTTAGCATAAAGTACAGAAAAATCTGTTGTACAAGGAACTTAAGTGTAGAGTACCATTTTAGGAAATTGTTTTAGATTAGTCCAAGACCTGACTAATTTTTTTTGGGTAACATAAGATGTTAACAGTTAGCTACTGTGTACTTTAGTCCTCAATGTCAAAGTTCCTTTCAAATCTTTTTCACAATTTATGCAATGAGCTAATCTATGTGTGCGTTATGTTCTTGCAATTTAAACTATGGAATAGGCCACCTATCTGTCAACTCTAATGTTTTTGTTATAAAAAAAAATTGGTAATAATCTCTCTCCATCCTTTACATAAGCCTTCCATACAACCCAGAATATAAGTTCATAAAAGACCTGAAATACATGATTTTGCCTTGTTATTGGTACTTTTATCTTTTTCCTTGCCAATTTAAAAACAGAAAACAAGCAAGAAAATATTTCTTCTTCCAGTTCAAATTGGCATTATTATCCATTATTTTATTTAAGAGGTCATTTCCATAAAATTAAATTTTATTGAAAGGGAAATAATTGCCTTTTAAATCAAGTAAGGAGAGAGAGTTAACCACAAGAAGGACATGGGACTGCAATGATCATAGAACTATACAGCCATAACTTTACCTACAGTTTATACTTTTTATTTTACCATGTGGTAAGTACAGAGAAATATTAGCTTCCAGAAAGAAAGCTCTAAAGGAAACATCTATTATAATTTTCTGCATGGATATCCACATACACTAAAGTGACAGGATTTAGATTATAATTTGACATACAGAACAGCACAAGCAAAAAATGAAGTCAGAGCTATTGTGAAGATACTATTACCTTTTTTTTAAATGCAAATACCTCAAAATAATGTTTTATGTTATATGGACTATATACATGATCTGATCTTATATAAATCATTAGGGACAACATATCTTTGTGTATTGTCCCACAACAATACTTTGAATTAATCGTTCTTACTTTTTAAAGAAGAATTTGCAAATTACTCTGATGAAACTCTACCATAAGGTATCCATTATTCAAATGTTGGCTGGGCATCAATGTACACATGGAAGGTGTGAGTGAATCATGTGATTGTTTTATTCTCTCTTCCTCCCCTTTCCTTTGCTTGTTAAGCTATCTCAACCGACTAGTTTTCTTCTGTTTGCTCTTTTCTATTGTCTTCAACATCCCATAGAAAATACAGAGTGAGTGGTTGTGTGGTCCTTAGCTGCAAGCTGGATCAACCCCCTACGAGTGTCATTTCTTGTGCCTGATCTTTCTAATGCATTGCTAAGATAACATTGTTATCTAATTTTAAGGCTCTATATTATACCACATTACCAACACCAAAGGTGAAGTATCATTCTGACAATGGTAATTCACCCTTACCTTGAAAAAATACATCAAAAGTATTTGAGTTGGTGGACTGCAGAATGAAGATTTATTAGCATAAGGGTATCTGATTAATTATTCCTGAGCCACCAGAGGATCTAATATGACTGACAGTGGTGTGTGCTGTCATATAATAACTTGCTGGTATATAATTCTTGGAGAACTGGAATTTTCAGATGCAGTAGGAAAACAGAATCTCCTTATGCTGATGTAGTTGTGTGATTAAACTTTGTATTTCACCTATCCTGATCTCCCACCAGAGAAGATTTAGATTGGATATTATGAAAAATATATTCTTTAAAATGGTGTCAAGCATTACAACAAGCTGCCTAGGGAAGTGGTTCAGTCATTATCCTTCAAGGTATTTAATAGGTGTGTACCTGTGGCATTCAGGGACATGGCTGAGTGATGAACTTGGCAGCATTAGGCTTACAGTTAGAGTCAATGATCTTGAAGACCTTTTTCAATGTAAATTATTCTATGATTCATCCCACAGTCAAGTTGTTTGTTGCCACCCCCTGCCTGGAGAGCCAAGGTAAAGTCTGTGAAGTATATGTTGCAATTAGAACATATATTGGTCTTTGACTTGTATAATAAGGCTGCTGTAATATACCTTTGGAAGAAAATGGTATTTAATGCAGAAGTTATAAAACTCTTGAGATTTCTATTGTTTTTTAAATCTTCCTTTATTATGCTTCAGTTGCTTCCTATTCTCTATTTTTTTTACCTTTTAGAGGAGGATGAAGACAGCCTGTGTTGCTAAAAATTAATTTTCTAGGAGATTGGCATTCATTATCTGTTCTTTTACAGCTGCTGTGGCTGAAGGAGAAGGAATGGGTCTTATTCCATTTTTATGAATATATGTTAATTCATTAATCCTCTTTGTGTTGATCATTGAGGAATCTTGATGTATAAACAGATAATACGATTTGGAAAAAATTCAGTACTCTTTGATAATGAATACAATAAGAAGGACGTGGTATGTGAAATATAGTCACATATAAACTGAATAATGTGATCACTTAGTGAACAAATGATTCACAGCAAGTAACGACTTTTAAGTCATTTTCTAGATTCAACTTAAAAGATGATCCACATGAAAGTTATTTCAGAAAGGTATATAACAAATGTTAGTTTAAGTAAATAATCTGGAGAAGAATAGAGAAGGAGAAATGTAAATACTGAATATAAATGAATTATTATTACTAAAGCAAAATAATTCGAGAAATTCCCCAACTTATTTATTTATTTTCAAAATAACTTTTCCACTTAGAAGAAACCATTCTGGCTGGGAGGGTTTTGACAGTGAAATTGTGTTGCCAAACGAAGAACAATCTTGTAATGAAAAAAATACTGAAGATTTTTAATCAGTGTATTAGCCATTATCAAAATTAATCCTTTCACATAAATGAAATGTATATTGTTGTGATGTTGACCACATAGGTAAACAATTTTGAAAAAGCCTGAAAAGGATCAACACAGAGTCTAATATGATACCTTGCCATTAAATTTCTATAGCTTTTATCTTCTATAGATACTGTTATCCACATAGATGTTTTGAATGTCATGCTTTCTCAGAAACAGTGAGTTTGTATGGATCTTACTGATTTGCTGTGCTGTCTTCAATTTAAAACAAAATTGCATAGGTCTGTGAAAACCAAGATGAGAAATATAAAGGAACTACAGAACAAAATTAAGCACAAATAATTCAAGGGAAAAAAGGATGAAAGACGTGTGAAGAAAAAATTAAAACAATGTTTGAAATTTCAGTGAGCTACTATTATCATGTTAAATTTTGCTCAAATTATTAAACTTTTCTGGGTCAATATTGGAACTCATTTGGTGAAGCATAGCCAAAATTCTTAAGGGGAGAAATACATTCACTTTTAAAAAAATCTATATTTTTCTCCATATCAGATACTTTATTTTTTAGAGAGAATGTTGTTTAAACTGCATATAAAACTCCATTTTGTCAGTCTCATTTAAAGGATCTGCTGCAGTTAGGAATAGTACCTGAAAAGTCAACATATGCAGCACACTCTCCTAGAGAATAAGACAGTACATGCATTGGAGGCATAAAATTTATTTTGTAGAATGCTCTCTAACCGTATTTTAAGATGGCAATATGTGTCTAGTATGAGATCTTGAAATAATAATTCCAGTCTAGTGGTAGAAAAATGTGCAATTAAAAGAGCATCCAAAAACAAGTTTCACAAACTGTGGTCTCCATATCAAGCACTTGATTTTGTCCAAGGTGCTGACTAGTTCTCGAAACATATTAAAAAAAAACAAACAAAATTTTGTACAATACATAGAGTTCTAACTGGTGAAAAGAAGAAACAGGTCTGGAAATTAGAGAATTTGAGACAATTCTTTTGAAGCAGCTAAGTTTGGTTCAAGTTTAGGAAATAGCAACAATTGCAGGTTAACCTCAATATTTGTCAGAAAAAAACCCAATTTCTTTATGCATGTGCTAAGGCAAACAAGGAAGCAAGAACAAACAACCAACCACAAAAGAAGCAAATCAGCCAAAGAAACCAAACAAGGAAAAAACACCCAAAACCCACACCTCTCATATAGTTCAGTGTTCCTGAAATTGCAAACACCTTCTGCAATAATGCTACAATACCTGCAGGGTTGTTCGGTTCACCTAAAGTGGCAATTCAAATGGTGGGCAGCTGAATTGTGGATTGTGCTGCCTACATCTTCCATTATATTTGGTTGGTGCTTAGATGTTTAGCTCATTCCATAAATAGATACATTTAAGTTTCATAATATTATTTTAATTCTGAATTTATCAATTTAGTATTCTCACAAATATACCTGTTGAAATTAGAATAAGAAAGAAAAAGCTGTCCTTTCTTCCACTTTTTTTTTTTTTTTTTTTTAACTGATCATTTCTCTGACAGCCTGAATGCTTCTTAAGGAAAATATTCATACTGTATGGTCTTAGTGTCTCTGTTGAGTACAATGAAAACAAATTGCTTCTTGGCAGATTCCTGGAAGCAGTGACAGAGAACATGGGCTACCCCTGGTGTTGAAGTTTACACAATGTGAATCTCTGTCTTCTTTCCTCTCATGGAGGAATCAAGTGATAGAATGATTCTATTTCTGAGAAGACATAAGTTATTTCTAACACATTTCATACCTCTGAAACTAATATATCTGAGGAATTTTGAAAATAAATGCTGAAGTCCTTGAAGTAAATCAGTTTTCTTGGGTAGGATACTTTTTAAGTCCATTTGAAGCCAGTGTAATTGGTGCAAATGAGTACTCCTGTCACTTATAATGAGGTGATAAACACACCCAGCTGAAAATTTTATGTGCCTTTTAAATTCCCTGTATAACCATATTGACACAGTAACTGCTTTTAAATAATAAAAACATTCTTCTTTCCCACTGCCTATAAAATTACAAATAAACAAAAAAAAAAAAACAAAAACAAAAAAACAGTGTCTGAAAAGCATGATTATAAAATTATTATAAAGCCGCTGATATGTGGATGTATGGACCAAGAGGAAGTTTAGATCGCAAAAAAATATTGCTTTACACTTTAGATTGAATACTTAACAATCATTTCAATTAAAAAGAAATTGCTACTAACCAGATGTAGATCAACACATGTAGAATTGTGTTCACAAGCATTGACTGTGCAGTCATCAATGTCCTGCTCACATTTCAATCCTGCATATCCTGGGTTGCACAAACAATAGAAGCCATCGACAACTGCAACAGAGATAGTACTTTATTACTAATAGTCAGAACAACTGAATGTAGTAAATTTACTAATGAAATTAATACTATGAATATAACCTTTCCAGTTATGAATACTATCTGGAAAAGATTAAGACCAGTTTTACTTAAGTGGTGTGGACATGTTAAAAAAATCAAAATAAATTAAATGTGGTCTCAAAACATCTTTTAGATATGAAAGCAGATTGATGTACTGCATTTTACTTAAACAATGGAAATATTTTGGTTCAAGAGGTATAAATCAATGACTTAAAAAGTGATGTTATAAGTAATGAGTAATTTACCATCACAAACCAGTCACAAAATACATAAGATTCTATCTTTAAAATGATATCTAAATAGGTTATACAGTTAAACAATGTTTGGTTTGTTGGTTGTTTTAGTGTTGTTGTAAGGAATGCCTCATATTATACCACTATATTAAGGAAAAACTTGAGTTGAATTTTTCTATGATATATTTCTTAACAAGACAATCCTAAGAACCCTGTCTCTTTTCCATCATTAGTGATCCAAACAGAGGAATCTTTAGTGCTCCATACATATATGGATTTCATGACAGCAGTAATCACACTTGTTGCAGACATGCATTTATTTTAACCTCAAAAGGGTCCCTGGATTCTTCATTATGGCTGAGATTTACCATAGAATCTGTTCTACCATCGTGTCTGTACACACAGCTGCTACTGTATTCATTAAATGCTTTAAGTCCTTTAGCACAGGAGCATTATTCATATGCTAAAAGCTTCCCAGCTTCCTTAGCATTCCAGCTATCTGCAGCCAGTGCACATGGAGTAGAGGAACTGAAATGTCTGCATGATAAAACTCAAGCCAGAGGCACCACAAAGACAAGCTGTTCCCCCAAAAATTGGCACTTGGTCAGCATGAAGAACTTTAATACATTTAATCTGAATTCCAGTTCAAAAATATCTCTAAACCAGTGTAAACCACACAGAAAACATCTGTAAATGCAATAGGAAATAGTCTTTGCTCAATAGAAGATTAGGTCATTTGCTTTATTCCCAGATAAGGAAAGAAAGACTTTTAAAGATATTTTATTGAAATTTATTTTTATTTTAACTAGGAGAGTTTTAGACTATATTTTCAGTAATTTGGGCTCAGTTCTTTAAGATGTCATCTGAAGCCAGTAAGCTGATTAAGTCTTCTGAAGATTTTTCTAAGAAAAAATGCATTTAATGGAAGTTCTTAAATCATCATTCTTTTTCGAAAAAGGATGTGAAGAAACAGGAGAGAGATGTAGAAGAAGACAATCATGGTTAATCAGTGCTTAAAGTGTGGCCCCTATGAGGAAAAGTTGAGTCAACCAGGTTTGCTTTGTCTTAGATCTTCAGGGAAATGTTCATAGTGGGAGGGCTATTTAAAAATAACTTCATGGATAGTTGCACAAATGACAGAACTGAAACCCCTTAGCAGTACTAGGAGGTATTATGAAGCAATGGCCAAAAGTTACAGCTCAGGAGATTTGGATGCATTTGTGTGAGCATTGCCAGAGTAGTTAATCGGAGGAATTGGTGTCCCAAAGAGTTTGTAAAATTTCTGTCCCTCTTTGAAGGCTTTCAAAACTCAGCTAGAAAAATCCCTGACTGACCTGTTCTAGCACTGTTAATAGTCTAGCTTTATGCAGGGTTGACTACATGACCTTCAGATGTTTTTCACCTTTCCAGTCAGCATTTTAAGATTTTAAGATCCTCTGAAAATTACTAGTTCTACTTTTTTTTTTTTTTTTTTTTTTTTTTTTTTTTTTTAGTATAGAAAGTGTCTGAAAGATGGTTAGAGCTCTACAAAACTTTCAAGTAACTACTCCATACTAAACTTCCTGCCAATCCAGACAGAATATAGTAGGGTATGCAAGTTGCTTCTAAAATCCTTAAGTACACCTTGCAGTGAAAGACTAAGTTACACAGTTACAAGAAGAAGGTAAACAAGTACACTCTTTTACATTAGTTTGAAATTATGCAGAATTTTTTGACTTATTAGAATTATGATATAGAATGCCTAACTGTTCCATGAGCTCTTTTTCAGCACCTGAATATTCTCTCATGAAATGCACAATGTAAGATGTTTTTTGGTTAATTTAGGTATCAAAGGAGACAGCACAAATCTCATTAAAATTTCTCATTAGCTAAAATTCTGACCCCTTGAACACAAAAACCCCAATGTCGGGAGTTGAGGCATTTTGGCAAAAATAATCCTTCTGGTACAGGCTGTGAAGTTTCAGACAAGCTAAATTTCAGTAAATTATCCACTGTTCTCCCCAGAGCAGCTCAGCAGCTACAGACGCTTCAAGAGAAAGACTTCTCTACATTAAAGTGAGTAACCGCACTGAACTCACTGTCATAGCAGTATCCATGGAGGCAAGGGTTAGAGCTGCACTCATTGACATTGATCTCACAGCGTGGACCTGCAAAGCCCTTCACACACTGGCAGTGGAATCCGAGGGGAAAAACGTCCAAATTCATTTCTTCTATGCACACAGCTCCATTCTCACAGGGATTGCTGGCCTCACAAGGCCTAAACTCACAGTTCAAACCTGAAAAAGAAAACGGCAAAGCTGTCAGTGTTAAACTAATGAATTTATCCCTGCAGCTGCTGCCTATTATGAGCTTGATTTTCTTTATAACCCTGGTTAAAATCGAGTAGAAGGGTCTCAGAGGTACATATATGTATATTACCATGCAGAAACATCCCTTTGCTTGTTATAATTTAAAAAAAGAAAAAAATGTTTTGGTTATATTACTTTATATGATACATTTTAAAATCTGAATAGCTATCTCACAGGTTTCAATAGATAGGTACATCTTCCATCTTTTGTCTCTACCCTTGTGTTTTAAATGGGTATTTTTCAGAATGCATTTAAAAATGATTAATGAATTTTGATTGAAGCTTCCTGCTATTTCATCTTAATAACCTGTTGTCTCAACTACCATGTAAATTGTTCATACATTAACTGATAATACTGAACATGCATTAAATACATGTAACATTGTATAATTGTTCTGCTTACCATCAATGACTGAATACAAATTATTTTACTGAAAATGTGTACTTATTTAATCATGAATGAATGCTTCCATTATTTATAAAAATTCCATACAATAGAAAATCTCGCACAGTCCCATCGTACTCTTTCCTTACCAATACTCTTGTATAGCAGATTATGTACATTAATCTGGACTATCCAAAGAACTGTGTGATTGTGGATCTTAGTGTGGATGGTATGGATCTTGTGTCACAGATGCCCTCATCTAAATCTTTATTTTACAATAATTAGATAAAAGGAGATTTAAAGGCCCTATAAAATGATCCTTAATTTGTTAGAACATAAACAAAACTGTTTGATGTTTTCCAGTACTGATAATGGAAATGAGGGTGGCAGAGACAACTGAGATCAAATGGGTTTGGGTTTGTAAATCTGCCTGCATTTTTCACTCAGTGTTGCTGAAGGAAAGTCTGTTCTTTCAGGCTTACTTTCAGACAGCACACAGTGACTCTCAGGGCTGTAGCAAACTGTACAGAAGCCCCTCTGAATCCCTTTGAAGCCTTTCTATGACTACTGAAGCTCTGTCTGTGCTGTGCTTTCTGGTGGAGCTTCCCAGGGTTTGCTGTTCTCCAGGCCTTCTGCACACTTCACCAGTGCCCTTGTCTCAGCTATGGTTGCTCAGCCATTCCTTTCTGCAGCAGTTTATCCCTGTCCCAAGAACCTCTCTGTTCCTCAGACAGGCTGTAACCTTAACCCAGTGATGGGTGGTGTGACACAAGACAAACACCTAGGTAGCCACTGAAAGATATAATACACACAGTAATGCTTGAGTAGGTTGATCTTGGTAGCTGACAGATGCCCATCCAGCCACTCTTTCACTTCTCAACAGGCAAGTGAAAAAAATAAGAGAGAAAACCTTATTTTGACCATGATAAAGATAGGGGCATCATTTGCAAGTTACTGTCATGGACAAAATAGAAACAACTTGAGGAACACTGATTGAATTAACTGACAATTAAAACTACCATAGGATGGTAAAAAACAAACATAAAGCTAAAACCGCCTTTCTCCTCCCCTCTTTTATTCCCAGATTCAACCTCACTCCTTCACTTCAGTCTCCTCTACCTCCTCCTCATCCATGAATAGCACAGGGGGATGGGGAATGGGAACTGTGGTTAGTCCATGACAGCTCTTCTCTGACCCTCACACTTTTGCCCTGTGTCAGTGCAGACCCCCCAGAGGACACAGCTCCTGCCAGGAGCCTTCACAATAATGAAACAAACACTGTCCAAAGTGCCAGCAGGATTATAGGTGAGCTGACTACTTACTCCAAGTCATCTAAGGGCTGAATTCTAAATGCTTTTAATAACAAGAACAAGTAGAAATAGGACTGAGGTTAAAAATATAATCCAACAACCCTTTAACCCCAGTAATGATGCTGACAAAAGAGGAAAAAACAACACAAGTTGTTCCCTGTCTTTATGTTTATGATCTCTCTGATGCGGGATGATCCTGCTAAAGACAGCCAGCACTCTCAGATCTGGAATTCATGAAATTGCACAGCAAAAGAAGCCATATGGTTCATTGAGATTTTGCCCTGAAGTTTCCATATTTATATCACAACAGCTTGACATGAGTGAAAACCCTGCTGATTCCTAAAGTGGAATAACACAAATAAGCTTAACACATGGCTCACAATCCTAAATGGAACCTTCAGATGAACCAGTAATGCAGTATTTAATTTTCTTTACCTGGAGAGGCAGCTTTACCTTTGCATCTACCTTCTGTGCACTTCCTTTTCTCTTTATGCTCATTCAGGAGCCCATTTATCTGTTTTTCAGCCACACCTGCTTCAGTTTGTGCACATTGGAAAGAACTGTGCTTTGAGGAATCGGTTTTTAAGATAAATCAGTGGGTTCAAGACAAATCCTTTATCCCTTCAGTGCAATCTCTAATGGGAGCCTGTAAAAAGATTTCTGAGCAAATGAAAACCAGCTCACTGAAGTTTGGAATCATTACTATGCCACTTGAATTTTTCATTTCTTTTAAGATTATGATCTCTATCATCTCACTGCCGTTATTGACAGAGTTTTTTTCTACCTCTACATCCCAAACTTCCTCTTGCTTATTCCCAATATAGAATACAGATAAATATCTCCCCTAGTTTTCTCACCCTGCAGTTGCTTAAAAGAATTGTCAACATGATCAAATATTTGTGTCTTTCCATGTTGTCTTTCCAGCAAAAGTCAGGTGGTAATATCCTAAGGAGAACGAATGTTCCTAAGTATTTTTTCCAGTTTCCTAAAGATGACTTCATAAATTTTCTTGATCAGGATATCTGTAGAAGACATCCACCACAATATTTCTTTAAATGGTTACCATTCCACTGTGCCTGATCTATTTGAGTGTTGTATCAATGAAGTCTTGCCTGTGACATTAATCAGATGTTAACCCCCAGGATGCTTATCTTCCCAACAGCAGTGCTGGGAAAACCCTGTCTGGGCTCCCACAGTTTTAGCCCCTGATGCTGGAGTCCCCTAGTCACCTTTGATATGCTCTGGGTCTCTATTGGCATTGTCATTGGTGCCATCATGGACAAGCAGCAAAAGCAAGCAAGTTCTGGTAATCAGCCAAACTCTGGTGATCTCTTTCCCGCACTGAGATCTCTGACATGCAAATAAACTTCCTCAGAGATCAGGTCTGGTCACCTGGTACCACTCTTCCTCAGAGAAGTGTCGTCAACCATTGCTTTATTTTAGTGGCAGAGATGAGGGTGTATGAGTCAGGTTCAGACAGCTTACTTGCCCTTCCAGGTAAAACCTGTCATCCAAGTAATCAGAAGGAATCCTCTCCAAGCCTTCACAGTTGTAGAGTCTCTTTCTTCCTATGCCTGAGTGTACCCTCTATCTACCCTGATCTCCTCCCATCCTGCTGCAGTGGATATCAGGCTTTCTCCCTTCAGGGAGCCTAAGAAAAACTTCATCTTTGATTTTGTTATCACTGATCCTGTGTAGCTTATTCTTATTTGCCAGGTGCTTCCCCTGGCAGCATGGAAACTAAACCAGGATGCACAGCAAGGAACTCATGCACCTTCCTCCCATGGTGTTCTGCAAACAGGAGCGTGCATCTTGCTGAAGGTACCTCCCCAGAAGGGCATGAATTAAAGTGAAATCTGTGTAGATTTGAAAATATACCAAAACTATTTTCTGATAAAAGACATATTTTCCCCCTTTTTAAGGAATTAGGCAAAACAAATTCCTTTTTTCATTCTAACTATAGTAAAGTAAAATAGCACAAAGAAAAAAATTAAATTAACCTGACATTTATAAAGAATAGTAAATTAAAATATGGTCATAAAATAGTTTACTAAATGAGGATAAAGCACATGGAATGATGTTAGTTGCTATTAATATTATAATTTTTTTAGTGCCTTAAACAATATTCAACACTTTTTAATTAGATAGTCAATGGCTTTTTCCTCCCACCCATCTTTCATTCTTATCATTGCATGAAAAATCTTTTCTTCTGCTACTGTCAGAAATGGCAAAGGTTTAATTCCTATTCTAACTGGAACATTGGTAAAACAAAAAGATAATAAAAGAATAAGACTGTGTCCATCCCACTCAATCTTTTTCCCTGAATCAATTTTTAAATATCAGTGTTGAGAATTAATAAGTAAAAAGACTATTCACTCATTCAGACAATCACAACTGTTGATATTATACTAATACATTTCTGTTAAGTAATTAATTATTAATGCTAACCAATACAAGAAGCAAGAAAATAAAATTGGATGAGTTAATGTAGAATTTTTTTTTTTGAAAAATGCAAATTCACATAAAGATTAAGCTTGGATAGGAGTAGGAAGGTGGTTGCACACTTGCAAAACAAGTTCACTTGCTGCTGTTGCTCTTATATCAGCAATTTTTACACAAAGTTGTAAAAAAGATGCATGATTAAGGATAAATCAAACAGCAAACAGGTTATAGGTTGAATTTTTTAAATAAAAATAGCTTAATCAGAAAACAGTGATGTTTTAAGCATTTTCTCTCTCTTTTAAATATTTGTTTAAGAATTTCTATACAAATATTTTTGTACAAATGTTTTAATGTAGCTGATTGATTTCAATATATCTGTTTTGTGCTAAACGTGAAAAAGTTTCTGAAACAGCAGGTCTGTGATTGTTGACAAAAAGGAATGCTGTGCTGACACCGACATGTCAGAATTTTTAAATCCAGAGTAAAAGGGAATGTTCACTAAACAGTTAAATGACAAAAAATAGAATGTCCAACAGATGAAATGTGAAAAAATTGATCACAGAAATTCGTCAATTATTTAATAAGTTCAGCTCATCTTTACAACTGTGCTTATTTCCTTTAGACAGATTTAACCTTTTTGCTTGTTCAATTCTTGGCTACATTTTATTGATTGCAATAATAGATTGTCTTTAATGGGCAGCTAAAGGCCTCTCTATTAGAGTAAACCTGAACAAACTTCAAAAGTAGATGCACAAATGATTATACTAAACAGTCAGCTGAAGGACAATTTCCTTTACAGTTGCACAATATATTGAATTAAGTATTATATGTCTTTATCTATATATAAGCATATACTCAAAGCATATAGTATGCTTCTCCATTAGCATACCATATATCAAACAATGAATAATTTATTAGGAAAATACTGTTTTTCTTGTTGTTTCGGTGTGAGAAGCGTAATGCATATTTAGAAATTTCATTCTGCTGATGTTAATGAATTTCCTTTTCTCCTGTATTTGCTTATAATACTTCTAGAGTAGAATTTCTAAATATCATAAATGAACAATGAAAATAGATTTTATTTTGCTGAGACTGTCCTTTTAAGGCTATTACTAAAAGTCAAAAACCTAATTTATAAAAATGACATAAAAAATAAACTGCCTGATATAAATTTCTATTTCTTTATATGAAACTATTGATATCTGTTTTACTTGCTCAGCATAAATGTGTAAATGAAATGTTTTGATGTGTAGTACTGAAGTCTCGTATAATCGGAAGTGACATCTCTTCAACATTGCTATTCTTTAGGAAAAGAATCTAATAAATAAAACGTTTGCTACTAACATTTTAAGGAATTAAATCTGACAACAGTTTTCAAATTCAGCATTTTGCTGTAGAAGTATGACCTGCAAAATACATCTCATTTCAGACTAATGATACAATTATGACAATATCATAAAAATAAAATATCTACCAGAAAAACAAGTGTGTCATTTGGACAGCAATTTCCTAAATTATAACAAGTAGTCTGGTTCATGAGGACAAGAAACTCAAGAACTAGCAAGCAGCTAGCAGCACCAACATTACAGTTTTGTGATCACAATATCATTGCAACAGCATTGTTTCAGTCTTTTTAAACTTGCCTTTTAAAAACAGAGATGAAAGACCCTTCTAATATTGAAATGAATCACTACTCTTTTCCAAGATAAATTAGGTAAACTGAATTCTTTACAATAAAAATAAAAATATATTTAACTATGGGAGATAAGCCAGTGTACAAAGACACAATAAAATTATATAAAGACATGCCCACCCACCCCCCTCCAAATCTATACCTACTGTTTTTCCCAAGATTATCCTTTTGAAATGAGTGAGTAAGACAATTTTAATTAGAAAGTTATTTGATCACTTCAGAGAAATATGTGGTTTTGTTTTCATCACCTTTACACAGCTCAGTAGCTCTTACTCTTAAAGACTTTCACACTTACCATAAAATCCCAGGAACACTAATGAGCAAGAAGTTAGATACCTAACATTTGAGTTCCTTGCAACTGTAAATGTTAAATGTCTTGAAGATAAAATTGTCTCTATTAGAAGTTCAAAGCTTTAAGCTTAGATGTACCTCTAAGCTTGCCATTATTTTAAAAACTGCCTGCTTATCTTGATCTGCTATGGGACTTAAGGAAAGAAAATATCTCCACAGCTGAGATGCTTAAAGACTAATAAAAGTAAATTAAAAAAACAGAAGTTCTCTGGAAGTGGGTAGGAAATAGAAAAATAATTGAAGCATGCATGTTTTTATATTACTTGAAATTAAGCTGAGTATTATAATATTTTAAAAAGTGTTTTCTTGCACTTCAAGTTTATAGCAAATCCATTATTTTCTTTGGAATACAAATTATACTTTCCGTTTAAGGAATTGCTTTGACATTCTGTGTATAAACCGTGGAAAGACATTTTCTCTGAAATCCATACTAATTGAAGTACTAATTGGAAATAATATACTTGTTTGTTTGTTTGTTTGTTTGTTTTTTAAAGAAGGATATTTGAAAAAAAAATACTTAGCACTTTTCAAGTAAAAATACATTTCCTTAATTATATATGATAATGCAGAGCATGCAGCAGTGCTAAAATAGAGTACGAGAAAGACCCACATCACAAATTTTAAAATGAAGATCACACAGAGATGTATATATTATTGTTCCATACCTGTATAAATTTCTGTAAAAATAGAAGAAAGCAGAAATTGAATATATTATTTAGGTGCAGTTTTTTTCCTCAAAATATGCAAGTTTATAATGAACAAACAATGAAAATATATCTGCATCCACATCTGTGAGTTTCACATTTCACATAAAAATAAGCTTCACTCTTTCTCAGAAACCAAAATAAGAATTTTACTATGGAAAACAATTAACAAAAATTTATTTCAAGCTGAAATACATGGGAATGCTTTTCTTTTCATTCTTTATTTTATCTGCAATAGCATCAACTGAAATTAATATTATGTGTGGAAAGCTTACAGAAAACTTGTATCAAACTTAGGTTTTCCTTATGGCCTAGGACTTGTGTATGTCAATAATGAGTTGCAATAATGGCTGCCTTTAGTTCTGGTGGTCAAAATCTTCTTTGTTCCAAGATCACACTTTCTTTTCTTAAAACTTGAGTGATTAGACAGACATTATTTATAGCATTTGATGCCAAGATTATAATTTTATTATTTTTATTTTTTGCATTAGTAGATGACCCTATGCCATAAATAGGCTCACTTTGTATAAAAATAAAGCTAAAAACGTTTTGCATCAGTAGTCAAAAAAACCCCTCTGAAATTTGGTAAACTTTACTTTGAGCAGCAGAAATGCCTTCATAATTTGCAGGGCAACCTTGGAAAAGGTAACTCCGTTTTAAGTCTTTAAAAATGGTGGTTTGCACATCCTTTCTGGATAACTAAGGGCCAGATTTCCATTTGCAATGAATAGAACTTGTATCATCTCTGTAACTTAAATCTGCTTGCTGAATAGAGGATCTTCTACACCATTCTCACAGAATGACTGATGAAATTCAAACCCCTTATTGGCTGTAGATGAATGGATTTACACATGAAGCATTCCCAGATCACTCATGGATGTAACGGCTTAGAGAATTTTTCTTGTGGATCAAGATGTGTCCCAAGGTGCAAACTAAAAGCAGAGTTGAAACTGCAGCACTTATCTCACTGAATCTGTATGGACGGAGTTAAGCAAACATGGCTTTTAGAGATGCCTTTGTGTTCCCAGCACTGTTCTGAAAGGCCACAGCTCTCCTACAGACCTTGGCATATCGGCCAGACCCAAAAGTACCTAAACAGACACTAGAAATAGCTAGGAAAAAGGCTTTCTCTCTGAATTGTTTCATTTTGGAGGCAGAAGCAGCTGAGAGTATTTATCTAGATGGCAGCTTTTAGGAACAATACATAAACCAATAGAAATATCAGAAACAAATTCCAGAGTCCTGAAGTGACTTCATATATGAGCCAACAGCAAGTCCCAGCTCATACTGATTTCCATTTAGGCATTCCATATCCCTTGTTGTTCACAGGCAATGCATATTTTCTAGGTAATATAACCCAAATATACCCACTCTACTTCTCTTCCCTCGAAAAACTTCCATGTGATGCAGATTGCCCTTCGTGTATCTATGCATCAGTTTCATTTTTCCCCTAAATAAAATTTTATTTGGCTGCTCAGTGTCAAAAGAGTGGCAAAACAAGAAAAAACCTGATGTTGAACAAAATATAGTGATTTATGGTCTAATACAGAGCCAGAGGTCTTACAAACCTGCCTGTCTGCATGGGGCTTGGCACAGGAAAGACTGAGGTTTGGCCTATGAGTGCTGGAAAAGTAATTGCTCCATTATCTCTACTCTAGCTTTTTGCCTTCATGAGCACTTACATTTCTAACTTCTTATTTGTTCTGTAATTAGTTGTTCCATAATAGAGTGTCCTGTGATGAAATCTCCATTATTACTCTTGTTTCTCAATAGACTTAAGCATTTCTTTTTTCTGCTGAGTTGTGTTTCCTTACTAGTTTACTTTCTTTTGCAGCATGTTTGATGGTCAATTACCACTTTTCTTTGATCCTAATTGGAACACATTTGGAGACATGTGTCATTAAGGCTGCAAGAAATAAGCAGACATTTCCTCAGAACTGATTTTCAATTTTCTTCTACCATTGCATATATTTGATTTAAAAGGTCATACCTATTAGCAACATCTAGACAAAATACATACAATGCATTTTTTTGAAATGAGTCATGTAAATAATTTGTATCAAACGATAAAAATCTTTGCTCCATTTATTAAAATCAAGTTACTCAACAACTGATGGGGCTTTTTTCCTTTTTTTTTTCCTAAGGAAAGAAAATCATGCCAAGTCTCATAGGACTATCACATATCCAATATACAGTCTCTAATTGAAACTAGAATTTTAATGCTTTCTTCCTTCCTGAGCTTTCTTTGGGAACAATAGATTACTGGCTCAGTCCATGTGTCACAGGAATATTGTTAGTTAGCTTCACCTTTGCCTTAAATACAAGTATAGAAAATGGGAAAAATTTACAGTTCTGGTGTGGGACTGCAAGATCTGTACTTAGTTATCAATAATACCTAAGAAGAAAAAAATCCAGCCTTTTAAGTTTTACTTTATCTTCTGTAAAAATGAGCGGGTCTAGAAAGTGTAGTGAGATCATTCACCTTTTGCATGCTAGGAATGCTGAAAAGCAGCTTGCCTGATACAGGGACAAACTTGCTCTGCTACATTGTCAGCAAGGACTGCTGTCTAATAATTGTAACTTCATTATTGTGGCTTAAAAAATGTTGGCATTTAAAATCTCTGGATGGAAAGGTTCCATAAATTACTATGAACTCGACTATTAAAAGAATATTTGAATATATCTCAATGTCCTTACAAAACACTAAAACCACTAATAAAAACAACATGGATATAAATACAGAAAAAGTTATAGCCTTTAATAATTGCAGTGCTTTTGAATATGTTTGAATTTTTAATGGGACAACTCAGTGTTTTCTGATAGAGCAATGGGAGCTTTCATTCTACCTTCCATGGTAGGACCCCTAAATGTGATACAGCCTCACAATATATTTCTCACTCCTGCTCTCTGCCCAAAGACTTAACATCAATTCTGTAATAACTGTGATTCTGTTACAGGCTTCAATTTTAGAATCGATATCATAATAGAAAAGCTATTATAACTTCCCAGCTAGGACACTCTAGTGGAATCAAACTCTTAATAATATTAAGAATATTAAAATATTTTATTTGTCTTGCACTCAAATCAAGTTTTTCTTCCTTCCTTCCTTCTCCCAGTTCCAGTTGCTTTGTCAGCAGGGAGTGCAAACAGCTTCACTCTGTTTCTGAAGAATTTCAGAATGTCCACTGATACAAAATGTTTGATACAAATGACTCTCACTTCAGTTATGATAGAAAACAGATGGAAGTGGAGATATTTCTAAAATGCATATTTGCAGGTACCGATATATTACAACCAAGCAGAAGCAACTGTGCCAGACATATTAAGGTTGGGTCCTGAACACAAAGAATATCACAGGGCAGTGTATGTAAGTGGCAGCACGACCATTTCAGCTTTAAAGCATGAGGTGTGATAATGGCTTGTACTATACAGGTTAGTGGCAGAACACTGCTGAAAGCAACAGAGACAGAGAACTGGACTTTTATAAGTGGATTGTCATGTTTGATTAATATAACGTGTTCACAAACACATACAGTATTTCTGGCATAGACAACTATTATAAATGGCAAAAGCATATTATACGGACCTAGATGTTATATTTTTTTCTCTGTTTAACCTTAGTCACAGCACAGGCTCAGTGGGGCTCATTAACTTCTAGGATTTCTGTGGGTTTACACAGGAATCTCTTTCTCTAACCAGATTAATAACATAATATGGCATAGATTTTCTTCTGTTAATCAAATCTTGAGCTTCTCCAAATCAAGGTCAAAGGAATTATGATATAAAAGTACAGGGACTTTGAAGTTCATTGTATTGTACCATATTGTGACTACAGGTAAAACCCAACGATTTTGGAAAACAGAAAATCTATTTTCAACTCCACAAGGACAAGGAAATAGGATAAAAATTCTTCAGCTATCATATTTAGTAATTAAAACATTATTAGATGCTGACAAGGATGTTATTTCATATCTGAAAGTTTTATGGGTTTATTCAATTTCCTCTTGAATTATGCATAGGTGGACAGCTAGTACCCTCAAGCTGTTAGTCTGAATATTTGGGAAGTCAAAGGTAGTAATTTCAGTGGCAAAAATGCCAATGAAATTCTAGAATTTATAAAAAGACTATGATCTATATGGGAGGAAATCAGGACAGTAGTGATAGAGAGGAATGCATTAATTTTGTTAGAGTTACACCAGTAGCAACAGAAGATATAATTCTTCAGTGCTCTCTATCCACTTTATGAAAATTGGATTTTCTAAAGAAGAAATGGTGTCCATTGAAGAAGAAAAACTTCATTCACATATCAGACTTGTACAGTTAATTTTCACAACCTGGACTAGAGATATTTGAAGAAAAGTCTAGATATATATATCACTGCCCAAATATATATATTGTTTTTTAAAACTTTGATGTCTTCCATTATTCTGTGGAAGCCAATGGAATGAGTTAAAATATTTTTTCTAAGTAGACAAATCTGGGCTTTGAAAACCCAAACAAGAAACCCACTGCTCCTTCTAAGAAAAATAAAGAAACTATGAGTGCACAGTAATGGTTTAATTAAATTTCTGATGACTTTTCATATTTATATACAACTAGTATAAAAGCTTTTAAAACATAAAAGTATCCATTCAGGATATTATAAAATTTGCCACACATAAAAATGAATAGCATTTTTCCTGCTGTCAGAAGACTTGAAATGTGAAGAAAGCAAAAATTTGGAGGAAATGAAGGGAAAGAAAAAAGATAAAATCAAAACTTTCTGGTCATAATCTCCCTTAGTCTCCTTATCAAAATAAACAAAAATAGTCAAGGAAATAGAAACAAAAGCAAAATAAATATATGTAAACCAGTTTCTATATATAGAATCAATTTCTAGCTTAATCTGACAGGCTGTCTTTTGTATGAATGCACCTGAATGTCCAAATCACGCTCTAAGCTCCTTATTTTCACATTCTATATAGTAAAGATTT